CATGTTGAGGGAGCGAGGTGATTGGAAAATGGGGGCAGGTCCCCCCAGGTTGTTCTCATGATAGTGAGCTCTCAGAGATCTGATGGGTTTATAATCCTCTGGCATTTCCCCTGCTTGCACTTCTCTCTCCCATGGCCTTGTGAAGAAGGTGCCTGCTTCCCCAATGCCTTCTATCATGATTGTAAGTGTCCTGAGGCCTCCCCAGTCACGTGGAACTGTGAGTCAATAAAACCTCTTTGTCTTATAAATTACCCAATCTGAGGTATTTCTTTATAGCACTGTGACGATGAACTAACACTTGCCCACTGGACCAAATGTTGTTGCTCAGTCAATGAGGCCCGAGAAGCATGCATGGGGGTCTAGCAATGTGGAGGTCATTGGGGACCTTAGCAGTAGCATTTTTAGTACCATGGTAGATGTGAGAGCCTGAAAGAAGTGGATTCAAGAGAAAATGAAAATAAAGACTTTCACGTTTATTTAGCACCTGCCTCCCATCATTGACCAGGACAGGGTCCCTGTCTGACTTGTCACTGGTGTGTCTCCAGTGCCTACCATAGTGTGTGGCCCACAACGGGTACTCAGGAAATATTTAAATTATTAAATGAATGAATGAATGATTCTTCCTCATCCTTCAGGTTTCAGCTCAGAAGTCACTTCCCCTAGAATACCATCCTTAGCCCAGAAATCCCGTGCTCCTTTCGCTGTTACTACCGAAGTAGGACGGTCACTCCATGAGTTCACAGATTGTCTTGCTCACTGATACATATTCCCAGTGTCCCAGAGAAGGCTTGACACACTGTATAAGGAAAGTGAGTTTCCTTAAGGGGTGGAGCTGAGTGTAGGGGACCATTAAAGAGGGGCTGGAAGACAGCCTCCTTTTGTTGAGCAAACTCATACTAAAGCCAAATATCATGTCTTTGTGAAAAGCTTCCCTGTTAGGTGTGGTGGTGTGTGTGTCTGCAGTCTCAGCAACTCAGGTGGCTGAGCCTAGATAACTGCTTGAGCCCAGGAGTTTGACCCTGCAGTGAGCTATGATCATGCCATTGCTCTCCAGCCTGGGTGACAGAGTAAAAGTCTATCTCTAAAGGTAAAAATTTAAAAAGCTTCCCTGGCCAGGCGTGGTGGCTCATGCCTGTAATCCCAGAACTTTGGGAGGCCAAAGTGGGCAGATCACAAGGTCAGGAGATCGAGACCATTCTGACCAACATGGTGAAACCCCATCTCTACTAAAATACAAAAAAATTGCTGGGTGTGGTGGTGAGCACCTGTAGTCCCAGCTACTCAGTGGAGAGGCTGAGGCAGGGTAATCACTTGAACCTGGAAGGCGGGGATTGGGGTGAGCAGAGATTGCACCAGTGCACTCTAGCCTAGCAACAGAGTGCGATCCTGTCTTGAAAAAAAAAAAAAAGCTTCCCTGAGTCTACTTTCCTTGGGCCACACGTCTGGCACATGGGTAGGAGAGATAACCAATCAATTATTGTTGAGTGATTAAGTGACCAATTGACACATCAAGGTGCTGATCAAAAGAAGACGTCCATGGGCAGAAGACATTCATGGGAGGAGATATTGAAGCAGGCAGATCTGCCGAGAGCACTGCAGGCAGAGGACATGATAAGGAGGTGACCTAACATCAAAGCATTATGCATGCCATATTGTGCCAAGCTCACAACTGGACAGCTTGCACAATGCAGAGCACTGTGTATGGTGGACCTCAGAAGTGAAGAACAATGTGCAGCAGGCTTTCAGAGAGAGGGAGAGGCAGTTCTCAAGCAAGGTTCATTATTCAGAGGCTGTGAAGGCAGAAGGCACAGTGGAGAGAGTGGTCACAGGTAGTGACCCACAAAGGCAGCTGTGCAGGGAGAATCCCATGAAAACACATTCACAGCAAAGCACAGGGCCATAAAACAAGCCTCCACCAATTTTAAAAAGTTGAAGTTTCTCATCTGAGGGCTCTAGAAGAAAAGAAAAGAGAGGGAAAAAAAAGAAAAGATAAAAAGATTAAAAAAAAGTTAAAGTTATGCAAAGTGTAATAACCTACCCTAATGGAATGAAATTAGAAACTGATAACCAAAGGAAATTTGGGGAACCCACATTAAGCAACAAACTCCAAAATAACAAGTAGATCAAATAAGAAGTGACAAGGGGAATTAGAGAACCTTTGAGATGAATGGAAAGGAAAATACAACATGGAGCTAGAGCAGTGCTCAGAGAACAATTTCTAGCAGTAAATGCATATGTTCAAGAAGAAAGATCTTGGCTGGGCATGGTGGCTCACTCCTGTAACCCTAGCACTTTGGAAAGTCAAGGTGGTAGGATTGCTTGAGCCCAGGAGTTCTAGACCATCCTGGGCAATATGGCCAAACCCCACCTCTACAAAAAAATTCAAAGAAAACAATTAGCTGGTCATGGTGGCACGTGCTTATAATCCCAGCTACTCAGGAGGCTGAAGTGGCAGGATTGCCTGTGCCCAGGAGGTCAGGGCTGCAGTGAGCCATTATTGTGCCACTGCACGCCAGCCTAGGTCACAGAGCTAGACCTTGTCTCCCAAAAAAACAAAAAAGAAGAACAAAAGAAGGATCTCAAATCAATAAGCTAACTTTACACCTTAAAGGAACTGGAAAAAGAAGAGCAAACTAAATCCAAAGCAAGTGGAAAGGAAGAAATGATAAAGATTAAAGGAGACATTAATGAAATAGGGATTAGAAAATTATAGAAAAAAATCAATGAAATGATTAAAAAAAAAGTCAGTGTTGTTCTTTGAAAACAAAATCAACAGACCTTAAGTAAGACTAACTAAGCAAGGCACCCTATGGCAAGGGCACTTACAGTCAGAAGGCCTTGTGTAGATAGGCCTCATTGGCTGAGCCCTAGATAATGAAATAATTCAGCAGCAGGTATCAGAAAGCAGAAGGCATCTGCAGGTAGAAGGCACTGTGCAAAGAGCCAGGAGCAGAAGATATTCTGAGGCAGAGGACAATGGGAAGAAGGCATTCGCAGGCAGGTTTGAGACCTTCACAGGCAGAAGATACTGTGCAGAGAAGTTTCACAAGAGGAATACGTTCTGGGGAGGAAAATCCACAGGCTGAAGACATTCATAATGTCTTCATGTGGCCCAGAGGCCATAGAGATGCATGGGGAGAGGGCCATCACAGATACATGAGATGTTGACCAGCACCTGCAGAGGTCTCTCCTGCAGACCCTGACTTAAAAACAGATGAATAAATGCACTCTCACACCTGGTTCAGTGATTCAAGTGGGCTAGGGATGGTCGTCGGCTGCTTTCCAAGGGCAACAGCTGCCAACTGACCAAGACCTCCACACATTTACTCAGTAAAGATTTCCTAACAGAGGTTCTAAATCAACATGTTTGTGGATAATAAACATGCTTAAAAGAGTGGTTTTACGAATGATAAAATCTTTAGGTTCCGGGCCCAGAGTAAACACTAGTAACAGGTAATTCCCCTTTGATCTCCCCCTGAGGGGACCATCCAGCACAAAGTTTACATGAGTAAACAGAGTAGAGACAAAGAGATGTGAGGTAAACAGACTTAACTGGGCAAGTCTCTTATCATCTCTCTTTCCTATGCTAATGTAATGTACCGGCCACCTTTGGCCCGCCCCAATAAAACGTTTTGGCCTTCTAAAAGGTTTGAGACTAATCTATAACTTTCCCTAATATTTTGCCAGCCACCCCGAGTGAATTCCAACAACAAACCCAGGACAGGAAGCAGGAGTCATGGTAACAGAGGAGGCCCAATACTAGCATTGACTTGCTGTTTCAAAATGACACTCCCCTATTTTTCCTTTAGGTCTTTGTGTCACACACTGTTACCAATTGAGAGTCCTACAAATACTTAGGAGCTCCTGTTGCAGTCCTTGTCTTTTGAATCAGCAAAAGCTCTTCCTCCCCATTGTAACAAGATGAAGTCCAAGGTTGGGGTGAAAAAATAGCTAGAGGAACACTAGTCCAATGGCCCCGAGGTCCCTACTCAGTGGTGGAAGGAGTTCTCTGAGTATCATGTCCATCTTTGGACTTCCCGATCACCCTTTCCTGTCCCTGGGTTGAATCAAGACTTTGATGGCATGTAGATTATATTGGTATGCATCTAGAAGAATGAGTTGGGGTGTGTGTTGTGGTCACCTTTGAGGAGGGCCTTGAAGAGATGTGTATTAAGAATTACTGTCGGCCGGGCACGGTGGCTCAAGCCTGTAATCTCAGCACTTTGGGAGGCCGAGGTGGGTGGATCACGAGGTCAGGAGATCGAGACCATCCTGGTCAACATGGTGAAACCCCGTCTCTACTAAAAATACAAAAAAATTAGCTGGGCACAGTGGTGCGTGCCTGTAATCCCAGCTACTCAGGAGGCTGAGGCAGGAGAATTGCCTGAACCCAGGAGGTGGAGGTTGCGGTGAGCCGAGATTGTGCCATTGCACTCCAGCCTGGGTAACAACAGTGAAACTCCGTCTCAAAAAAAAAAAAGAAAGAAAAAGAATTACTTTCAAGTAAGAGGTGGAGGGACTGGGAGTGTTTAAATGTGAGAACAGTTGACCAAGACAGAATCTGAGAAGTATTTTCAACTATTTTAGGGGCTGGCATCTAGCAGAGGGATTAAAGACCACCAGTGGCTGACAAACAGAAATGGACTTTAACTCAACTGAAGAATGCATCGTCTAAACCCAAGGCTGTCCACAGACAGCAGGGGCTTGGAAGGAACTGAACTCCTAGCCACTGGAAGTATGCACTAACAGCTAGGTGGCTGTCTGTCTGCAGTGGTAATGATGAGGAGAATGGAGCCCCCCACAATACAGTATTCCTCATTAAGATTTGATGAGTCTAGAATTCCACACTTCCTGTGCATACATAGTGTGTCGATCTTGCCATTAAGTACTTGTTTACTTTTGTACAGAGAAATGGCTGCAGGAAATAGGAATAAAGAAATCACACAGCTGAATACAGCAAGTTATTACACTTAAAAAGGGAATCTTGATGCTGACACATGTAATATCTTACCATTTATTATAATTGTGCACATTAATGTGGATTAAGTGTGATTAGAAACACTAAGCAATAAAAAAGCAGCAAAATGTAAAGCAACCATCCCTCTTCCTTAGATCTGCAAAATTCTGTGCCTTTTTAGACATGAAAGAAGCTGATTTGGATCAAAATCAATAATGCTTTTGCAAGATTTCTTTCATTATCTTGCATGTTGGTTCTAAAACTCCCTTAAAGGCAGACTATACCTTGAAGTGAGGAAGCCAGCCTTTCTTGGGCCTCTTTACCTTGCATTCTATCCACTGGGCCTGCAATAAGACTCAGGGATAGCACCTCTCACCAAGGGGGTGACATTTCTTTCCTTCACTCATTCATTGAGTAGCTGTGTGTTAGTATCCACTATGTGCCAAGTCTGATGCTGGGGACTACAGCTGAGGGAGAGCAGTTGGTATTCAGTGTGGGTACATGCTCTACAGAGGAAAATCCAACGCAAATAAATGGAGTGTTCCTCTCTGATCATTTGCCAGGAAGAACAAGTCTACAAGCCAATGTACATAGGGCTCAGAAGCTGGAGAAAGATGGAGACCTTTTATAATTAAATCAAGAGAAGATGCCCTCATCTTGTATCCGAAATATTCTAAGGTTGTTCTTCCTTTCAAGGAACTTACAAAGTGATGCTGGGCCCAAAGGTGGCAGAGGCCAGCTGAGCCTGAGCAGAGGGTCAGCTGACTACATGAACAGCTTGTATCTGCTCAGCCATCCAACGAGTCTCCATGTCCCAGGTACCTGGGGCTCCAGCAGTTGTCAGCAGCTTGAGGCAGAGTCTTAACTGGAAAATGGGTCACTGAACACTCTCTGCTTTTCCTGGATTCACAAGCTCCTCTTTGGTAATATCTGTGAGCCAAATATGTTGTCAGCTGAAAGCATCTCAGTTTGCAGACATTTTCATGGGCAGAGGGGAGGGAAAGAGACAGCTTGGCCCTTGAAATACTTGACGGGGGAGGGGTGGAGATCATTCAGGGATCCAGAATTCCCAGAGGAAGAGTGTGATTTCACACCTTCTGCTCTTAGGGAGGCCTGAACAGAGGGTATAAACGTGGCAGAAACTGTGCATCCCCTGCACAGTGCTTGGCACATACTCAGCACAAAATCAATGCTTGCTTTTGTGGGTACTGCTCTGGAAGAGCATGGGCTCTGTAGAGTTCTGCACAATGCAATGACCACCTCTACGAGTTCCAATATCCTCATCTCTAAGATGAGGATGAGAATGTCGCCTTCACGGGATTATTATGTGAACTAATGCCATCACTTTGTGATAGTGCCTGGTATGTAGTAGAGCCTCGAGAAATGCTAGCTGCTTTCCCCCTCCTTAATCCTGCTGGGATCTATACACCCTAAAACCCACCTGGGAGAATTTCTGTGTGAAGTTCAGGGAGTGGAATTGAAGGCAAATTAATCAGCTATCAAGATTTCAACAGACACAGATATCACTTTGGTCAGTAGCCTCCTAAAGTCACAATCTACTGAATTAAACCTAATCGTGTAAACTTTCCAATACATGCCAACATACTAGTAGGGGAAAACTCAAATATAGTGAAAGGTGGGTGGAAGACAAAATGAAACACTGCTATAAAACCCAACAAAAGCAGCTAACTACTCTTTAAAGTATATAGAAATTAAAAAAAGATAGATATGGCAAATAGACAAGCTAAACACTAGCCTATGCCAATCCCTAGCATTCAATGTCTGCAATTTACTCACAAGGGATCATCAATAGTCTCAACTTGGCCCCTCGGAAGCTTCAAGGTCATCAGGACACACTGAACCCTATACTTCTGCTCACCTAAACTCATTAGAAAGCCAATCTGCCTTAGGGAAGGCAAGATGGAATTCTTGTTTGATCCTCTTTTGTTGAGCCTGAAATGAGATCATGGATGTAAAGTGCTTTCTAAGCTATAAGAAGCTCCACACACAAGCAATTATCTAGCATCATCAAGATACAACTTCAACTTGAGAAGGGCAAACGCACGAAGAAATCAAACAGGGAATGGGAGCCAGCAACTCGGGGCAAAACTGGGGACAGCCAAACTTGTCCAGGAGTCATCAGCTTCTGATCAGCCTGGGGGTGGCTAAAAGAAAACAGAAGTCGCCATGAGACTGGAAACACATCAGCCAGAGGCCCTCAGGGTGGGTGACTGCTTCAGTAATCAGGGGTTACCGCCTAGCTCAAGGTGATTTCTGGAGAGAAGGCCATCAGCATGGAGCTGGTTTAAAGCCTGGTTGCTATCGATCCCGATTACCTTCAGGGGATATATTTTGCTCTGTGCTCAGAAACTGCAATAAATTCCACTGGCTATGAGAATGCAAACATGTCTTCAGGCAGTGCTCATAGTGCGGCCCAGAGGCTTGTTTTACTGAGCACCATGGCTCTGCAGTCCTGATCTGAAGCTATGCAAGCAATGGTGGAATGGAGAGCCCTGGACAACAATCCTAAGGCCTGGGGTGAGATCCTGATTCTACCTGGGTTTCTCCAGGCCGCCTTCCTTTCTACATCTTTATTTCCTTGTTGCAAAATGGGGCTAACAACAGTGGCCCAGCAAGCATCCCAGGACAGCTAGAGGCCTTGGCTCAGGTGCTAGATAGAAGGTGTGATATGGAAGGGTCCTCACAGAGGGCCTTTGTCCATGCCACCTAATATCTCAAAGTATTACAAGGCATAAGAACATGAGGACACAGGGCCTGCTGAACATAAAGAAGAGCCAAGGAAGGCAGCAGTGTCTGGGGTTGAGACTCCAGGAGAGACCAGGACACATCTCTTCTCCTTAACCAGTCTCTTGGCCACTTGTCCTTTGCAGTGTCAGCACTCACCTAGAAGAGCTTCTCATAGCATTTCCCACAGTGAATGGTGTCACGGTGAATGAAGATCTGATCCAGGAGATCGCCCATGGGTTTACCGCAAATCCCACACTGAAAGAGAAAGCAATCTGGAGGTCAACACGCAAAGCAAAGCAACAGTGAGTGGAGTGGGAAGGGGATGCCTGAGCAAGGCAGGCAAGCAGATGCTGTGAGCCCATGGTACATCCTGGACCTCCAAGGGGTCACGAAAAAATGATGAAAAGGGACACCAAGCCTCAGCGACATACAAGTTACCCATGCAACAAACCTGCACATGTAACTCCAACCCTAAAATAAAAGTGGAGAACAAAGATGAAAACCAGAAGTAAAACACAAACTAAGAAACAAAACAAAACAAAACAAGTCCCATAAAAACTAGCAGGCAGGATGATCATGTAGTGGTTGGGAGGTCAGGTTCAGAATTCAGCCTGGGTTTCAGTTGTGTCAGCCCCAGTTACTGAAACTCTCCCAGCCTCCGTTTCCTCATCTGTAAAGTGGGTGCACCGGCAGGATGGACTTCTCATGATTATTACAAGCATTCAGTGATGTAGTCCATAAAGAGCATGCAGCCTGGGGTCAGGCATCCAGTACGTGTGCAGTAAGTGCTGTTGTAGCAGGGGTTGGAGGATATTAAGGGTGACGTTTAAAGAAGGTGATAGGACAGTCCCACAGAAGGGAGAGATAACTCAGCAGTCCAGCTCCTTCCTCCAATCTCATGACTTTCAAACTTGTCTCCCCTGGAATGTCTATGGAGGAGAAAAGCCAACCTCTGCAGCAGGGGACCCTCCTGGCACTGGGACTTGGGGCAGCGTGGCCTGCAGACAGCCTCGAATAAGAGGAGTGCAAGAGTCCTCGTGAGTCTGGGTCTGCAGCGCTCTCCAGGCCTCCAGGCCTTCAAGCTTTCATAGGTGCTGAGACAGGCAGAGAAAGGGTACTAGGATCCTCTAAGCCCCTTTGCTCATTCTAACCAAGCACCTTTCTGATGGCAATGAGGCTGGGTATTTCGATTTCTCAATTCCCTCGTCCTGGCAGTTTGGTTCACTATAAATTAACCAGCCCTCTGATTCATGTATTATGTTTCTCTCATTATAGTTATTGTGAACCATTATAGTACTTTGAACCTCAACCTAGCTGATTGATGATTCCAATCTGTTTAGGGAGTCACCTCTGGGTGCACAGAAAAAAACAACAACGTGGGGTTACAAAGTGCTACACATCATGGAGAATGGAGACCCCAACGGCACTTAGAATAAAATCCAAACTCTGTGTCCTCCAAGGCCTACATGATCTAGAGCACCCAGTCATTTATGCCATTCTACCATGCAAGCTACAACAACACTCTAGTGCTTCTGCCCCAGGTCCTTTGCACTTGCTGGCCCTCTGCTAGGAACAGCATTTCCTGAAAAGACCTCTTTTGTCTCCCCTACAGTACTAAGCATGTGGAACCACCAACACTCATCCACTCTCCTAGATTTGGAAGCTCATTCAGCTCCCAGTTGTGCACAGCCTCTGTGACTCTGTGCAATTGTATATGGAGATCAAATCTTCTCCGTATTGTCTGAACCCATAAGACTCCTGCACTCTACAAAACGTTCTTAGCAGCATGGCCCCACTTTCTTACCTTAAAGCAATATTCATGGCAGCAGATGCCAAGATGTTCTAGGGTAATCTTTGGACAGTCTCGGATCTCACGGTTGCAGTAAGTACAGATCCCTCCAGTTGTCCTGTGAGATGAAGAACAATAATCTGGTGGTCAGGCTGGTGTAGACCTCTGATGTGACACAGCCAGACCTTCTGGTTCGGTGCAGCCAGGCCCAGCTTTGCTGCTAGGATCCCAGGCTGCGGTCTTTCTCTGTGGTATGCAGCACAGCCCTGGGCCAGATCAGTTTTCAGTCTGGGCTGCAGACCCAGACTCACGAGGACTCTTGCACTCCTCTCATTGGAGGCTGTCTGCAGGCCATACTGCCCCAAGTCCCAGTGCCAGGAGGGTCCCCTGCTGCAGATGGTCCCCTGCTGCGGACATTTGCATTATTTCCAAAAATTAGTCATGTATCTTTTCCTGACTCACTACAGTATGTGTGGACCGCTGATGTGGTACTTATTCCACACAGTTTGCCTCCCTCTGACCTTCTGCTTAGAATATTTGCTAGAGGCCAGGTGCGATGGCTCATGTGTGTAATTCCAGCAGTTTGAGTGGCCAAGGTGGGTGGATCACGAGGTTAGGAGTTTGAGACCCACCTGGCCAACATGGTGAAACCCTGTGTCTACCAAAAATACAAAAAATAGCTGGGCATGGTAGTGGGTGCCTGTAATCTCAGCTACTCGGGAGGCTGAGGCAGAACTGTTTGAAGCCAGTAGGCAGAGGTTGCAGTGAGCCTCTGCACTCCAGCCTGGACAACAGGGTGAGACTCTGTCTCAAAAAAAAAAAAAAGAATATCTGCTGGGGCCTATTACCCTCTACAGCAAGAAGAGCAATGCCTTCTCCTACAGGAGACATGTCATTGTGTGCCCTGCCTGGGCCCCTGTCTTGATGGCCCTTCTCCTCATGCCTGGGCCAACTAAGCCCCACCCCTACCTACACTGCTGGACCCACTCTGCCGTGCTCTGTCTGTAGAGGCTACTCAGATCCTATGCTGAAGTTCTAGATACCAAATCCTGAGGTGAGCATCTTTCCAGTTCCAGGATACCTATTTTTGTTTCTGAGAGTCACCTCTGCTTTTCCTCCTCAGACAGGACTTGCTGAAAGTGACTGCTTGATCTGATCTTCCAGGCCAAAATTTGAGGTACTTTCTTCCAGAGATTTGGGTCTGCTTCTGACAGGGGCCCAGAGCTGGGGAGGCATTACCAATCTAGATCCACTTTAGCTCTGTCAAAGGACCCAGAAGTGCCATGGGCAGCTGGCCCAGGGTTCACTAACGACCCCTGCCCTTGGCACAGCCCTGCTCCTCCTGCTTCTTTCACCAGCAGCAGTACCAGCTCACAGTTGTGTTTTGTGCACGTGCATGCGTGTCTGTGCATACACATGTGTGCAACTGAGATTGTCCTTAGAGTTCCCTTCCTTTCTCCAAGCCTAGTAATGGATAAGTAATGTCTGATTCTGGATTTAGTAGTTGTGCAGTGGAAAGGAGGGTCCCTAGGGTATCTGGTCTGTCACTCCACTAGAAGTGGCGGCCTCATTCCATTCACTCCTATGTAGGTGGTTAACTCCCAGGTTTCTGACCAACCTGCCCTTCTGTCCTAAGACTTCAACTGATGTGCCTCATCGAGTCATCTGTAGTTACCCAGGATCAGCTGCTTCTTTAGCTACAGTGAAGGGGATTCCCTGGCCCCATATGCTTGCCTGTCCTTGTATGTTTGCCCTTGAGGCCCGGTAGGATTCTCTTTATCTTTCATTTTCCTTCCCAGTGTAGCTTTGGCCTTTGAATGTCATCCACAGGAATTTAGATCTATCAATGAGAAGCCAGATGGCAGAGTAGAAACATCCCTAACCTGGGAGTAGTCACAGCCCTGGGGTTTAGCCCTGGGTCTGCCCTATCCACTCACCATGGACTGAAGGCTACTTATTCTGCCAGATTTGTTTTCTTCAGAGCAGCCTGAGTGAACTCAATCTCTGAGACTCTCTTCTCCCCATTCCAAGAAATTTAACATATGATTTCTTTGTCATTAAGATGGTCTGGTGACTGTGGCATCATCTAGTAACAACTTTCAAAACTGCTGAACGAGGTGCTCTCTGCCCTTGCTTTCAATTCGGTGGCTCCATAGCACTGTGCATTCTTGGCTCTGTGTGTCTTTTCTGGCTTCTTGATGCCAGCAGCCCACTTTTCTTCATTCTCTGCCCACTACTGTCTTTTGTACTTATTCTATTTTGACTTCTGGTCAGATGTGCAAGTTAATTAGGTGATGGATTAGGTTGTAATCTGAAGGGCCTCTCCTGCTGACATGAGTCCCCTGGGCTGTCAGACACCACCACCTCCCTTCTCAGTCACCCTTGGTGTCTACCCTCTGGTCTTGGCTCAATTCAAAGGCTTTAGTTGTCACAAGTGTGACATCCCAACAAGAGACGCACCAGCCTATGTCCTTCACCTTTCTGCAAATGTAGTGGAGGCTGCAAAGCAGAAGACAAAAGCACACAGGCTCAGCAGGAACTCTCCCTTCCCTGTTTCTCCTTTGTGGAACTGCAAGCTCCATGCTAAGAAAGTCAACATACCTCTCAGAGTATGGAGTGCTGCTGTATGGGGGTTTCTTCTCCATGTCGAACGTGTCCTCAATGCTGCTGACACTACAGGGAGTGTGATGGGGGAGAGCCAAATCACTGTCATAGTTAATTTTCTCATTGACCTTCGGCCGCAAGCTGAGACATAAGTACGCTGCCAATCGTCATCCATCACTTGGTGCCATAAAGGCCCTTCTATGCCGTAGGGGAGGGAGTGGCAAAGGAGAGCTTTCACAATGAGGGAGATGATCAGGGCTGGGTGGCTAGGATTCCGGAGGTTGTATATGTCAAGGGGCCCCAACTGACCAGTGGGAAAAGAGTAAAGTTTCCTTCCCGCCAATGTTATAATGTGACAGTCACCAGGAGCCCACTCAACAGAAATCAGATACTGGGAATGAGAAGAAGGAAGGGAACATTCTGGCATAATACCTGTGCTCAAGTTATGGGTTGAAATTAGGAGGTGAAGATGGGTTCAGAGTTTCTTTTTGGGGTGACAAAGGTGTTCTAGAATTGGATAGTGATGTTTGCATAACTCTGCAAATATACCAAAACTTTGAGACTGTATACTTTAAAGGGTGAATTATAACTCAATAAGCCGTTGTTGAGAAAAACCACCCTGAGGGGCTACAGATGATGAAACCGAAGCTCAGAGAGGTTGAACATCTTGTCCAAAATGATCCAAACAGGGGCCTGAGCTGGGGTTTGAACTTGACCCCTACAGTCATGCTCATCATTCCACAGCCCCAGTGAAAGCCAGCTCAGAAGCCCCAGAGGCCCAATCCTGAAATAAGGCTAGGATGCTCCTCTCTGTTACTAAAATCCTCCAGTGGTGTGATGTGTCATAAGAAACATTCCGAGGGACCTCATCTCAGTGTGGTAGGTGACGATAACATGGAAGTACCCCTCCACATGGCATCAGGAAGCAAGCAGATGAAGAGATGATCAGTGGAAAGAGGAAGCTGAGGTGGGTGGATTGCTTGAGGTCAGGAGTTCGAGACCAGCCTGGCTAACAAGGTGAAACCCCATTTCTACTAAAATACAAAAATTAGCTGGTCATGGTGGTGGACATCTGTAATCCCAGCTACTAGGGAAGGTGGTTGAGGCAGGAGAATTGCTTGAACCCAGGAGGAAGAGGCTGCAATGAGCTGAGATGGCACCACTGCACTACAGCCTGGGCAAAAGAGCAAGACTCCATCTAAAAACAAAAATAATGAGAATAAATAAATAAGTAAATAAAATTAAAAAGCAAAATCACATGTGTATCAGGAACTGCAGTCACATGTGCATTAAAATGAGGTAGGCTAGCATGACAGAAGAGAACATGGGCTCAAAAGAAGAGCTCTGTGATCTGAAAGGAAATAGGATGAACTAGTTGGTCCCCAGGGCTCTGCCAGCTCTGCCAAGAGGGATGCTCTCAGCATTTGACAAAACAAAATAACAAAGACAAGCAGAACAGAATGGCGTGCAGGATGAATTCACTGTAAGGGACAACCCAAAGGTGCCCAGGTAGGCAGAACACCTGAAAATCCATCAATCCTATCAGAGGGCAATTATATGACTCACCCGCCCGACCATTACCAGAAGCTACTCTGAGTCAAGCCCTGGACAAGGACCTAGAAATGTATGGATGAGAATACGGGAGCCAGCAGCAGAAGGCTGGTGTGGAAGGCTTTGGGACTCACTCCTACCTGCTATAGCGTGCAGATGACACTTCACTAGTATTCACATACTCCTTCAGGAAGAGAATCCCTTTGCTGTAGAAGGAGCACAGCAGAAATCAGAGGGATATTAGAAGATTCCTGGGAACTAGGCCTTGCCCACAGGAGTGGTTCAGGGCTGGTTTGAAGGAAGTGAAACACCTCATGGGAAGGCCCAGGATAGAGGCACTGGCATTGAGGTGGACTTGGGCTACAGTCCCAGCCCATGAGTGTTTGGGCTGAGATCTCCAGTAAGGGGCTTCCTGCAACCAATGGCAATGTGCTGTCCTTCTCCATGCAGACCTCGGCACGCCATCTTCTCCCCAGGCTTTAGTCCCGTGGGCTTTCCACCCCTACTTCAGGGCTGCGTCACCTTTATACTCTACCCACAACCAAGATATCCTCCAAGGCTTAATCCTACAGTCTGTCTTCACCAGTCAGCAGCTCCCAGAAGGCACTCAGCTACTGTGCAGTTTCCATCTCACATCTAATCTCTCCCTTCTCACTCCTGGAGTCCAGAGACCTAGAGGGTGCCTCACCCTGGACTGGTCTCTGCAGGACAGGAAACTAGATCTGCCTCATGCTGGGCTCAACGCAGCCCCAAATTTGCCCCCCCTCTTTCTATGCTGCACACTCCAGCCTGCTGACCTGATGTCTGCAGAGGCCCCGCTGGATATGCTCCTCACCCCCAACACACATACCTCACTGAGCAGGTGGCCAGGGATGCAGGTGAAGCAGTGGGCATGTGAGAGAGACAGACAAAACTCATATTGAACTGTGAGTCCCATTACTGGACGTGGGGCTTGGAAGGAAGTGACAGGATCATGGCGGGGGGGGGTCCCTCATGAAGGACTAGCATCATCCCCTAGGTGGTAGGTAAGATCTCCCTTGATTAGTTCACATGAGGTCTGCGCCTCCCCTTCCTCACTCTCACTCCTGCGCGTGCTCTTCCACCATGTTTAGAAGTTTCCTGAGGCCTTCACCAGAAGCCAAGCAGCTGTTGCTTGTGCTATGCTTGTGTAGCCTGCCGAACTGTGAGCCAGTTAAACCTCTTTTCTTTATAAATTGCCAGGCTCAGGTATTCCTTTACAGCAACACAAGAATGGCCTCCCATGCCCTGCCTTCACGGACTTGAGCTGGCTTCCCAGGCATGTTCCACAGTGACATCAGCAAGGACCCATGGATGGCGCAGCCCACATCCACTAGAACACCACGAAGTGCCACTGCAGCCTCTTGTAGGGACAGGGAAAAGGGAATGTGGGAACTAACACTGTCCTGGGTGGCCCCTTGCCTAATGGCCTTCTGGAAATTGGGGAAGGCAATAAAGGGGAAGCAACGTGAAACGAAAGCCAAGTCCTTTACTGCCAAGGAGTAAATGGGTAACCCCCATGCCCAGAGAACATCTCCCAGGTTGCTAGATAGCCCTTCTTACGTAATGGAGCTGGAGTCCAATTCACTTGGCGGGGCTGGAATATAAATGTGAGGCTGCTCAGAAGTGGCAGTGACAGTAACGGTGGCCATGCAGCTCGGGGGGCTTCTCACCCTGAAAGAAAGAAAAGGAGGGGTGGACATGTCAACCCTGAGAGCGGACACCTTCCAGTGCCAAACAGGCTTTTCTGAGCCTAATCCTTGAGCACTGCTCTTGAAAGTTTCTGAGATAAACAAATTGAACTTCTCACTTTACACATCAGAAAACCCAGGGCAGGGGAGTTGAGACCTATCCCAGGTCACAGGGTGGGTTGGTAGCAGGACCCCAATCTCCCAGTAACCACTCAAAACTCCTTATTGCAGCCGAGCGCCCTGGCCTCTGTGACTCACTCAGTTATCATGGAATCATGGGCACCTGAGGATGTGAGAGTCAGGAGGGAGCAGAAGGGGGAGACACAGCCCAGCTCACCTCCTCACTGGATGGGACAGTCCCTTACTAGGATCAGCACCTTCTGCCACCCTGCAGGGAACTCTCCAGAGAACACAAGGTCAAGGGGCAGAGGACCACATGAAACTAGGCATCACTGAGGACAGTCAGATGCACCTCATTCCCAGCAGTGGCAGGAAACTGAGCCTCCATACTTCAGCTGTCACAGATGGCCCTTGGCCTGGAATTCAGCCTCCTAGGCAGCCCAAAAAGGCTTTTCTCTGGCCTTGTTACCAAAGCTTGAGGGCATGGTGTTGGGCAGCACCACCAACCACTTGTTTGCACCTTCCAACTTCAGTCTGCCCACCTTCCAGTGGCCTGAGGCCAGTGCTACAGGTGCACACTCCACTGGGCTGATTCTGGCTTCCCTCCATATCAGATATGGCTGCCTACATCTGTCCCGTTGCCAGAGAATACAATCCCCAAGACTTCAACTCGTTGAAGAGTGGGGAAGGGGAAGAACAATCACAATCCAGCATCCGCCTAACTCTCCCACCTCATAGGCTCAAACTAGTGCTTCCCAAGCAGAAGCCATACAGAGCAGCCTGCAGACAACATCAACCTCTCCTCTGGGAAGCCCTTCCTAAGGGCCTGCCCTCCTACCTAACTTCAGTGGACCCAATTATCCTGTGCCTGTTCCTGCTTCAACCTATGACAAAGAAATGTACCACAGAGACTGGAGGAGGTGGACTAGTATCCTGTGATCCATGTCAGCAGAACACTGAAGGGGACAGCAGAACTGAAGGGGCAAGGTAAAACAGAAATCACCTGGAGCTACTTGGGAAGCTGAGGCAGAAGGATCACTTGAGGCCAGGAGTTCAAAAACAACCTGAGTAACACAGTGAAACTGCAACTTAAAGAAAATCCCCTGGGGATGCCCCCAGGACTGCAATATGAGCCGACAGGGCCCAGCTCCTGCCCCTGCTCACACTCACCACTCCCCTCCAAGCACAGGGTTCATTGCTCAGGCCTTCCTTCTGATCTTCCTTGCCCATGGTGCCTCTCCCCAGGCTCTTTGGAAGGCAGGCTTCTCCAGACGTTTTGGGTCTCCCCCTCGATAGAAAAGCTTTCCCTAACCATCCTTGCTACCACACTCTGCCCTAACCCCTCCCCATCAGAGCACCTGGTTTCTTTCCTTCCTGGGCTTATCACAAATGGAGGAGCAGTATGGATGCCACAGCGATGGACAGTATAGGCTCTGAGCTCTGTCTGGGTTCGCAGCCAGGAAGTGGCTGCATAACTGCTGGCAAGTTACTTAACCACTGTCTGCCTCAGTTTCTCCATAATAAAAGTACCTCCTTCCTAAAGTTGGTGTGAGAATTAAATGAGTGAGTCACATGAGGCATGGAGAACATTATCAGCACACAGCAGGGGCTATCGGTTATTCTGATGGTGCTTATTCCTTAGCGGACTGTGTGCTCTTTGAGGCTGGGTGGATGTGGCCTTAGCCATCGTGTTCACTGTGTACATGGCTGCTCACAGGAAGCTTTTAGTGTGCAGCATCTCCAGCTGGCGGCCCATGGCTCCTGGTTATTCCCTAACTCATGGCCACTTTGGGAAAAGATCTCTGGGGAACAAAGGGAGCTCTCAGCAGACACCTACACATTCTTTCACCCTCGTCAACTGCAGCTCCAGGCAGTGATAAGGGAAGGACACTGAGGCTGACTGCTGGTATGCATCCCATCTGTTAGGTCTGACAGACCAGACCCAGGCTGAGAATGCAAGAGGTCAGCAAACACTTGCTTTGCTGAGTTCCTTGGCAACATGAAGCTAGCACAGCCCTCCCCTCACCCTGTTCCTGCAGCCACCCTTTCAAAGCAATGGATCATGTCAGGAGATTGAAGGCAGGGCCAGAATACTTCATTGGCAGGGACAAGATGAGGAAAGACCGGAAGCTGGTCAAGGGAATGACCTGGAACTTAAAGACAGAGGACAGAGGTTGCAGCAAGGAAGTGGGTCAAAATCAGTTAGGGGAATGGGACAATAGCCACAAAATACCAGAAATAAGGACATCTTGAGAATGCAGCCAGTCCTGCCTCGGACTGGAAGCCTCTGCCACATGTCCTAGTGACCAAAGCTGGATGTGAGCACCACACAGTTGTCATAGAGAGGGAGAGGAAGTTCACCTGGCAGGAATGGGGAAAATGTCATCAAATCATGGCATCCTCTCATGCCCTCTAGGCTCTGCCCATGTCGCCATGGCTGTGAAGCCCTTCCTGAGGCCACACTGTTTCCACTCTAACAACTCCAGCTTTCCGTGGATTTTTGCAAATGAGAATTGACAGAATGTTTCAGGGTCAAATAAAATCTGATACTAGATTGTCTGTAAAAACATTTTAAAAACTCAGTTATTTTCAAATGTGAAAAAATGTACTACAAGTCACGTAGGATTTCAAAATTGGGAAATCTCTTACAGCTACCAAAAATGTCATAATTTGGTGTGGACCCACACTGCTCTACAGAGGCCATAAGTCAGGAAACTACCGCTTAGGGACACGAGCTCCTCACAGAAAAGCACAAGTGTCTGGTGCTCTCTGTTCCCTACTACTTGGCTGCTACTTGGTTCCTGGTCTCTCTCAGAAAATGCAGAGCCTTGTTTCCTCAGGCTACTGCTGCCAACTTCTTGTGACCAATGAGCAACCCTGGGTCAGCACCGTGGAGCTGCATTCCTACCCAAATCCATGGCCATCGCAGTGCTGACAGCAGTGGAAGAGCTCACCCAACTGGTACAGTCGTTATTTCTGGCAGTGAATCCCATCCATACCATGGCACAACTTCCATCTCCGTGACTGGAAAAAGCAACCCATATCCCTCTTCTGACCCAGCTTTCCAGGCTGGAACTGGCTACCAGACAACATGGTTCTCTGTGCACCTTCTCTGTGCCAGGTTTAGTCTAACAGATTTGATGCTATGGCTTCAAGCTGAAATCCGTGAGTATCTACCCCTGGGATGCTTCCCTCCTAACCAAACTCACCTGCAGAGGTAACAGGCATGCCTAGTGTGTGGAGGTTTGTCCCTGGTTGCTGCCCTGGACAGAAACACTGGCTCTAGCAGGCAGGGGCCCAGTGCAGCTCGGCTCTTACCTGCTGGTGCAGCTCTCTTGTCTGACGAGTTGCTCAGATCCGCTGGGGCTGCTCTGCTGTTCTGGGGGGCTAGGATCTGCTGGTTGTTGAGTGCATACAGCTGGGTCTCCTTGGCCACCTCCTGGGGCTCCAGGCCTGTCCTGCCAGGCCTCTCCGACCTTGGTGGCCATATTCTTCCCCACATAATCAGCCAACACACTGAGGAAGAATAAGTACCTTCATGAAGCGAGTGCCCTGAAATTAGCCCTTGTTCGCCCATGGCAGGTGGGCTGATTGTCATGTCTTGTGGACTTGGAGGGACTCATCTGCCCAAGGGTGGGGCAGACAGGAACCAAGCACTGCTGCCACCCTAAGGAGCAGGCAGTCTCCTCCTCAGTGGGACCCCAGCACTGCTGCTCCTTTCTGACAAGGACAAAGTCACTGACGATTTCAATGAAGTATTAAAAGACATAGTGTCCTGGGTGGAAACACACTGCCATTCCTGTCCTGGTCCTCCCACTGCCATCTCTCCTTTCTCCAATCCCTTCCTGCCTCCCTCACGTCTAGGAGACCTAAACCATGGTGCTCAAGACTGGAGTGCTAGCTAGACTCATCAGGGGCCCAGTAAGCTACCCTGGAGGGCTCGGTAGGGGCAAAAGTAAGGGAGTGGGTACGTGTTGTTCGCCAGATTCCCAATCCGCTGTTGAGGTCACAAACAGGGGGAAGGGCCAGGAGAACCCATAATTTCTCAGGTAGGGCCCAGGAGAATCCAGGCCCATTTGTGATCCTCGAGCGCCATCTCGCGGCAGGCACCGGGACTGCGGCAGAAAAAAGCCTCACCAAGGTCGCCCCAAACCACCATTTTCTTTGATAATCTTCTCATTTCGAGGCAGGCATCTTTGGCCGAGTCTGCGGCTGCAGGAAATGGCGGTGCGCGCAGGCGCACTCACGCCGGTCACAGGCTGGCCTGTGCACGCGCAATCCCAGCGAGTGTGCGCGCACCCGCCCACTTATTGTTGTGATGGCGCGTTTTTCACAGCTGGAACCTTTTTGTCTTCTTTATTGTGAAGTAATTATAGCTATTGCTACACAGCAATAGCATTTTCATCTTTTTTATTTTAACAGATGAAACAGTTGATGTAAGGGTTCAATTGTGACTAGTACAGGGTAGTCAAAATGGAACTTCGTTGTTCCCTCTGCTAAGTTTAGAGTATCTAAACTTAGTTTAAAAATCTCTCAACTTAGTTACCCCCACGTCACCCCAGCTGCTTCTCTTCCCCTTCCAGCAGCCAAACTCCTTAGAAAGAGCTGTCTACACTCACTGTTGTCACCTTTTTCTTCCCTTCTTACCATCAACATTCCATGGAACCTATTAAGTGCTTCTCAAACTATCTGCACTGAATGACATCCCTTTCCCACCTGTCTGGGACTGACATGCGGTCTTAAGGTGCAGCCCCCACACCATGGGACTCACCACAACACCTGAATAGTCTCTCTACCCTGTTCAAGCAGAAAGTCTATTGATCACAAGCTTACATGTCCTGGCAATGTCAAAGTGCTACAAAAGTATAAATGTTCTCAATTTCTGTACTTGTTGATGGGGAGTTAGGATGTTTTAATCACAGGATCACCGTGTACACCACTACTCTAGACTTTCTTGCAGCTAAGTCCAGTTAACTGGCACAGTTGGTGACTCTCCTTCTTTTACATTTTTCTTCCACAGCAGTACACTGGTTGGCCTCCTACCTCTCTGGCCACTGCTCACTCATCTCTTTCACAAGGTCCTCCTGTTCTATCTTACCTCTTAATATGGGGTGCTCTGCTTGTATGTCTTCTTTTCTCACTTTATGCATGCCTCCACAACAATATTACCCATTCCCCTGGCTTCAGTTGCACTGACATACAGAGGACTCTCAAATACTATTTTCAGTCAAGACCTCACCCCGAAGTTCCATTTTCATTTCTCATTGTTAAAGCAAACTAAATACAACCTGAGAAGGGCTCTGTACTTCTACATTTGAGTCCTTGTAGATGAAATGTAACCTAGCTTAATAGGCAGATAAAATTGAAAAGCTAAGTTAGTAGTATGTGCCTGTAACAATAGCTAAGTCTTGGCCAATCCCAGCAGCCACACTTCAACCACTCACTGCTGAGTGTTCAAACTGTTCAAATAAGGCATACACCAATCTGTAACCAATCCAGCCGTTCTGTACCTCACTTCAAACTTCTGTACATCATTTCCATTTTTTTGTCTATAAATCTTCCATCACATGTCTGTGCTGGAGTCTGACTCTGCTGTGATTCTGGAAGCTGCCCAATTCTCAAATCATTCATAGCTCAATTAAACTCCTTTAAATGTAATTCAGCTGGTTTTTCTTTTATCAAATGGTGTCAGAAGTGTGATCCAAAGTGTAGCTTCTACCGACACCCCCCCCAGGAGTGCTGACTGAACACACAAGGTATCTTTGGGACCCACTTGTGTCCATTGATCTCCCAGAGCTCAATGGTGGTCATGGGTAAGCTCCCTCTCGGATTTCAGAGCTCCAAGGATTTGTGTTTTGAGCAAACTCTCCAAGTTTCTTTGAGCAAATTTCTGATCCAAACTGGGTTTCAAAGTTGTGACAGAAACTGGGCTAGGTCCAGGAATGGATTTGATCTGGGAATTAACTGGCTTGGATCCAGTTAGAGGCCTCTCACATCTGACTGGGTCAGAAACAAACCAGTAGTAAGCAGTAATATTGCAGGAGTTATACAATTTGGCTTTTAAAAATTCACCGAGATTGTGTTCTACCCCTTAGTTTCATTTTTGTTGCATGCCTTGGTAGGAAAAATCATTGGCTAAGTTAATCAAGAGAACTTGAGGGTAAAGCCAATATTTTAGGGAAAAATGGGATACTTAATTTCTGGAAAACTGAGTTCTTTCAGCTTATACATTAGGCCCTGGAGGCAGCAAAGTCTTATAGAAATGGTGAAATCTTACAGAAGATAACTTACAGTGGAATGTTCCAAATGAACGACAACACAATGAAGTGCATTTTTAAAAAATTATTTTGTGTTGTGGCTTGGCCCCCAGGGTGATGGTACAGACAGCCAGATCACCAGGGCCACTCAGGGAAAGGGAACCCAGAAGCCTGGCATGCCAGCAAAAGGGTAAGAATTTCTTACCAGTCCAATTTCAGGCTTTTCTCTCTCTCTCTGGAAACTGGTTGTATGAATGGTAAAAAATCACTGTTTATCTCCTCTGTAAAATTTTAATTAATGCAAAAAAGAATTCTGAGACTAGTCCTAAGCTGTAGTCAATCTGGTGTATTTTATGTTGTAAATTCATTTTTCTGTGTTGAGGGGTACTTTAGGATAAAGCATGGGCTTAGGCCCCCATAAGCTCGCTGCTCAAGATAGCCCAGAAAGCTAGTCAGTAACAAACTTTGTTGTAGGTCCCTAAAACGAACAAAAAACTGGATGAGGTCTCCATCTTGCTTTATGTCCTTGGGAGCTTGACCTTGTAACCATGTGGCAGTACTTTCTCCTTGTCTCCAGCTTCCAGGGAACAGGAATTTTAGGGTTCATACCATAGCTAGCTCTAAAAATTATCTTAAGTAATTAAAGTCCTTTGCAAGCTCAAAATTAACTACTCTAGACTCCTTCTGAGCTCAGTAGTTAAGGTTTTGTTCTTTCACATTGGCAGTCCAGGTTCAATTCCTGGTTTAGGAAGTAAGTTCTTTCTGGTTTAATATCTGTGTGACCTTGTCTATTCCCTTCTCCTCCATGGACTATCTTAAATTTTCCTTTCTCTGAGCACCTGGGATGTTACCTTTGGTAAAGTTCAAAAGCCAGGAATATTGGGCATGTGGCCTGGCTGAAGTCGGGTAATAAAACATTTTAAAAGGACTTTATTAAAGAGTGCAATGGTTAAAAGTCAGAATACTAAAAGCAGATATTCAAGCTCTAACAGCCTGGACTCCTGGAAAAACAGGAGGCACCACAGACCCTTTCTTGATCTTGTTCTTCCAAGGACTCCACCCTAAAGCCGATAACCAATTAAGAAACTTAAAAACTGGCAAATGAAAAATCTTATGGCTGGGCACAATGGCTCACGTCTGTAATCCCAGCACTTTGGGAGGCTGAGGTGGGTGGATCATGAGGTCAGGAGTTTGAGACCAGCCTGACCAACATGGTGAAACCCTGTCTGTACTAAAAATACAAAAATTAGCTGGTGTGGTGGCAGGCACCTATAATCCTAGCTACTCAGGAGGCTGAAGCACGAGAATTGCTTGAACCTGGGAGGCAGAGGTTACAGTGAGCTGAGACTATGCCATTGCAGTCCAGCCTGGGCAACGTGAGACTCTGTCTCAAAAAAAAAAGAGAAATCTTACAAGTACTGTAGTAATCTTCTATGTGTGTAGTTACACATGTGTTGGGTGCAATATTGATATAAAAGAGCTCTAATTAATTGGCTTAAACAAAAATAAGCACTTAGGTCAAATATTTTTTTTTAAAAATTGTAGTGCCTTTTAGTTCATGTAACTTTAGTAATTTGGGGGAATAAAAATAGCTTTAAAAATTACTGGCAAAATAAAAATATTTGGTCTAAATTACACAGGCCAGATATTAGGTTTGCTAAATGCTTTAAGGTCATAAACTGCTTTGACTTTTGAAAATTGCCCAGTTTATTTTGGGTCATTAGATTCTAGATGAGGCCTTGGGACATGTGGAATTAGCCATGCTCCCTAGCTATGCAAAGAAGGTTATAAAGAAAAGAAATTTTACATAAGAAAGGATCTTGTATGGTAAATTCTTGTCCTAAAGTAAACTGACTAATTGTTTAAAAAGAGGGATGTTTAGGGCAAGTCAGAAAGTCCAAGAATACCTTAGGTGGTCTATATAAGTCATGAAAGAATTTATGACAGGGGATTTATGCGAAAAATATTGTACAATTTAAAGGTGTTTAGAACTCCTGAATGCTTCGTAAAATGTTACTATAACTCTTAACTGTACAACCTGTCTGATTTACAGTTAGGTAAGGTCTGAGACACATGGAGTGAGAAGCTGGAAAGAGTCAGACCTTATCTGCATTTCTGTCTGGGTCCTAGGCTCCACTTAGTACATAATTAAAATCCCAAACTTATCAAGGTTTTTACCAAAAGTAAAAGTCCCTAAAAGTTAACACTGTAACATGTAATTGAGACTACTGAGGTAACAGTTTTACATGCAAGTTGCAT